GAAAGCACTTTCCTTATAATCCAGTCTTGAACCTCTTTCTTTTCACTTTTGTCCGCTGTCTTTCCTTCTCCCATCACACACCACTGAAGAGTATCACCTTATTGATAATTTGTAGGTACTGGGAGGCTGCTCATAAATGTTCCCCTCACAAGCTGTCTTTGCTCCAAGCTGAACATACCTCAGTGCCTCCAGTGCTCTAGCCCTCAGCCGCTGCAGTGACCCTGTGCTCAACTCATTCTGGTTTTTTGATATCTTTCCTGGTGGAAAGATATCAAGCTTGCACTGTAGTCTAGATACAGTCTAAGGACTGGTTAATAGAAGGGAATCCTTCTATCAGTAGCAGAATCTCCTGGCTGTGTTTCTTCTTGTACCGCCCAGGAGTCTGTTGTCCTTCCTTGCTGTCAGGGTACAGCACTGCCTTACATTTGGCAAGGAGTCCAGAAAGAGCAACACAGCCAGCTCTGCCACAAGCCCAGGACCCCCAGGCATGTCCTCTTTCTCCATGAAGTAGTTGAGCTGGGCAGAATTTGAAGATTTTAGTGGGCCATTCTACAACCCCTGCTGCAGCAACCTTTGCTGCCATACATCCAGAAGTTCCTTGCACCCCATCTGCAGCAGTTGTGTCTTCAATGTGTGCTGAGCAATTCTCCAGCAATGTTCAGTGACTAAGAAGCATCAGATTTGGTGTATATGGTTCACAGCTCCAGTGTACCACTAACACTTCAGAAGAACCATATAGTAGCAAACCTGTGCAACAAATAAACATATATTTATCTCATGAACACCCCAAAAGAAATACAGTAACTACAGATGTTAACAAAATGATCTGTCTGGAAAGAGTAAGGGATGACCTGCTTGTCAAAATTCTGATGCGTAGCAAATATTGTGGCATCCACAACTGTCCTTTAAGTAATTGATTATCATCAAGAGTGGAGAGGTTGATGTCTTTTTTATCAACTCTAGCATACAAGTTATTACACAGTGCTGAGTGGTCACATCCCCACTGGGAGCCAACATCTTGCAAAATTGCTCATTATTCTCTTGAGCATGAAAAACCTCAGCCAGAAGAGATTAATCAGCCTTGCACACCTGGCTTCACACAGTTTGCTTCTTTTCAGTTATGAGTGTGTTGTGCAATGATTTAATACTCTGGTAATGTTTCACTGAGAAGACACATCATAGATTCCTTGTTCTTATTTCCCCTGTCCAGCTTCTTACTCATCTACTGATGCCTATGTCTGATGTATATTCCATGGGGAGACAGTAATTGTTACTAGCCCTGGTTCATAAATCATGTACATTGTGAAATTAAAACAAACAGAGGAAAGAACTGTAAAACTCAGTCATCTCACATGCAGGGAGAAATTGTTCTGTCCCTTAGTGTAGATGATGGTAGCACAGTTCCCAACAGCACGCCCAGAGCCCATGGATTTGGGCAAGGACCCACTTGTTCAGCATAGTCACTGATCAGACCACACATTAAAACTTGCAATACCAAGGTCTCCATTACTGGTGTCAATGAAGATACACAGTTACATTTCCCAGCAAATTGTACTCCTCCTTTTAACCATTTTATTTAAACAAAGTAGAATTCTCCTGCAGGTGGAGGGGCAGACAAGTAGATTTAATGTCTCTGGTCATTTCCAAGAGTCTGTTTTGGTATTAAGACCATATTCAGACAAGCTCAAGAACCTGGGTGTAACACAGTCAGCCTGAATGAGGACATTAAAAATAATGGGCACAATTTTTGGCAGATATCCAGTGGAGTCACTCAGCACTGGTACCATTGAAAACATGTTTATGTGAAGCACTTGTTTAAATTTAAGTGGAAACTGAAGGTCCATACCTTTGTTGTGCAGAGTCAAACCAAAGTGTGTGCATCTGATTCATGATGGAATGAATATGTGGCTACTCAGGATAATTAAGCTAGACTTGTGCTCCTGTACAATTCCAGAGCTGCAGTGCCTGTGCCACAACTCTACTGCATGAATACTTGCATGAGAAAAGAAATTTTCACTGTATTTAGAAGAAAGAAGGAAGGATTCCTGTTTGCTTTATACCTGAACTATATTGCTCTGATCTTCAGGATCCCAAAAAGCAGAAAACACAAATGATCCTTCCAGTTATTCTTTTGTCAAAAGACAGAGATGCCTGCAGTTGGGATCTCTTTGAATTCACCATTAAGGAGGGCTGCCACAGAGTGATGGGGCATCCAGGCACAGGCACTGTCAAATGAAGACTTTGATTGACTTGCTGCAGAAAAGGATCTTAAACCAACCTGTATTTGTCAAAATGGAAGTGCAGATCTTAGTGTAATCTTTGTAATTCAGGACAAGCTCTAGAAGTAAAATTGCCTGAAGCATAAATGTGTGAAAAACCCCACTTTTTTTACTACAAATCCCATAGGAGCTTTATTCTCAGGGCTCTATACAATTTACTCCTTACTCTTTCTGTTATTTACCTTTAATTGAAGAGTGTGTTCTTTTATGCAGGATACACAAAGGAAATGTATGTAAATAACATATTTGTAAGAAAAACAAGGTGACTTGTAGACCTTTGTGTGATTGAATAGAAAATCCTGAATGTGGTTTGTTTTTTTTCTTTTTCTGCTTTGGCAAACCCATGAGTTACACTTCAGCCTTCGTAGAGCCATCACAAGAGACAACATGTTAAGTGGATTTAATATTACATTGAAAGGCAGAAGACTTGGATTCTACTCTCTATAGCCCTTCCACTCTGCAATGTGGAAAGGCCACTTTTTCTCCATACCCCTACAACATGGTGTAACCCCAGACAGCAGCCAAGCCCCACTTAGCCCCTCACTCACTCCCGCACCAGGGGGGTCAGGGAGAGAATCAGAAGGGTAAAAGTATTAGGACCATATTCAGTCAGGCTGAGAAAATGAATGAGTTGAGATAAAGACAGTTCAATAGGGAAAGCAAAAGCCATGCACACAAGCAAAGTGAAACAAGGAATGTTCACTGCTTCCCATGGGCAGGCAGGTGTTCAGCCATCTCCAGGAGGGCAGGGCCCCATCACGTGTAATGGCTACTTGGGAAGACAAACACCCCCCCTCCAAACATCCCCCCCTTCTTTCTTCTTACCTTCACTATACATGCTAAGCATGATATCATATGGTCTGGAATATTCCTTTGGTCACTTAGGATCACCTGTCCTGGCTTCCCATGCATCCCAGGTTTCCCTCCACTGTGTTGCAGTTCAAAAGGCAGAAAAGGCCTTGGCTCTGTGCAAGCCCTGCTCAGCAATAACAAAAACATCTCTATATTATCAACTCAAACTTTGTTCAGCACAAATACAAAACAGCCCCATACCAGACACTGTGAAGAAAATTAACTCTATCCCCTCCAAAAGCAGCACACAGCATTTCATCTTTGCACTCCCTTGAACCCCCCTCTGTGTAGCAGCCTGTAAACACTCTGGAGAGGGGGAAGGCTTACACTGTCAATGTGTTGTTCCTAGCATAGCAAAACCACTAATATCAAGTGGATGCTGTGGAAGATGTGACTAGCACTAAAATAACTCAAGAGACATATCTGAACTTAGCTCATGGTCTTTTTTCACCTTACAATCCGTAATTGTTTTCAAAAAGTGTTACTGCTTGCTAGTCCTAATATCAAACTTGTGTACCCTGGCTATTAGATATGGATAGAAGTCCAGGCAATACCCAGAACAAGCCAGGAAGAAGGGAAGAATGAAGGGAATGGGGGGGAAGGATAGTTTAAACCAAAAAGAACCAGTTTGTATAGTCTGGAAAAGGACTATGGACATCTGATAGCATTCAGAATAGTGATGAACTTTGGAGAGCAGCATCTAACTCCCAAGCTTTTTCAGGTCAAAAGAAGATTCTGGCCCTGCAATTCTCTTACCATGTTGTAGCAAGAGGAGTGCACAGAAGCAGCAGGACACCAAAGGTCATGCAAGCTTCACCCAAGAGCTACAGTGTGGAGACAAATATGTGCAGTATTTCAGGCTGGAAAGGGCCTGGCCTTTCTCCTAGATACAAACTTAGAGTTATTGCTCACAGTGTATATATTTTCTCTCTCTTTCACTTTTAGCATAGTTTGTGACCATTTTCCCCTTCCATCTTGCAACTACTAGCCCTCATGTTACTTCTTTTCCCTTCTGAAAATATTTCACAATGCAACTCCAAAAATCTCCATTCTGCAGTTGAGTTCTGGAAGAGAGGTTTGCTTGTGGACCTCTCACTGATTTCTCATTGAAGTCAGTGAAGTCTTTTCCTGTCTGATGAACTATGAATAGTGAATATTTTAAATAGAGTTTAAAAGGTAAAATTCAGTGCTTGAGTCCAGAGAAAAATGCCTGCCACTTCTGCAAAAGAATGCATTAGTCCTAACAACCTAGTGCCCTTTAACTTTTCTCCTCATGTACCCTCTATTTTTCCAAACCCGTCCTGTTTAGTATTCAAACCTTATTTCTTTTCGCTTTTGCCCTGTAATGTAATTTTTTACACCAGATGTTTTGCACATGTCAAAGCTGTAAGAAGTGTGACTTGTAGTAATTGTACTGCAGTGGCTGAGATGGATCAGAAATCCCTGAGCTTTTGCTCCGGCAGTGATGGTGGTGAGTCATCCTGTAACTTCAGACACTGAATTGCTCTCATCCTAATTGCTCTCCCCCTATTTGTGTGCCTGTTGAGTGGAAGAAGTTGTATCTACCTCACAGGGCTATTTTGGAGGATTAGGGCTTTAAAGTGTGCCACAAGCCTTGTTAAGTATTGCTTAATGTGTTTATTAGGGGCATGCACAGCCCTGGGATTTTTTTTGTGAGACTCAGGAGTGCTGCAAAACAGTGTTTTTCTGGAGACCATGCTGAGCATACAATAGGAGTTGTCTGTCACAACAGGTGTGCACTCTCTTATGTTGAGTAGCAACCTCTGTACCTGCTCACCCAGGCAGATACTCTCATCTCCTTCTTACTGACATGAAAATTAACACCTGTGCTCTCTTTCTTTCTTTTAGATCCTGGCGCTCCTGTGAAACTGCCTTGTATGCCAGTTAAACTGTCACCTCCACTACCTCCAAAGAAAGTCATGATTTGCATGCCTTTAGGGGGGCCAGACCTCTCTCTCTCATCGTATTCCACGCAGAAGAGCTCCCAGCAGCCTTTGACCCAGCAGCATCACACTGTCCTGCCATCCCAGTTAGCAGCTCACCAGCACCAGCTCCAGTACGGCAGCCACAGCCAGCACCTTCCTTCTGGGTCCAGCACGTTGCCCATTCACCCTTCAGGGTGCCGCATGATCGAGGAACTGAACAAAACGCTAGCCATGACCATGCACAGGCTAGAAAGGTAATGGACCAACATTTTTAGCATTCCACACTGGTGTGCACTGATTCCTGCTAACTCAGCGTTGAAGGCATTGCTTGGGTTACATTCGTAGGACTTGAATGAGGTGTCTCCTCTGAGGTCTAACAGCTTCAGGGCAGAGTCATTTCTGCAGAAACAGAAGCAGAGGAAGAGCCTTTCCAGACTTGTTTGACAAGTTTGCGGCAGAAAGGAAATAAAGACCAAATTTCCTGAACACCATTGTCCCGTTCAAGAAAGTAGTTAATACAGCCAATGGAGATTTTAATAGGACATGCCTGGCTTGCAGTAGGTACTGCTGAGGCATAACTGCAGAGCTCCAGTTGTGTGGAGGATTACGAAATGCAAGGAGAGCAGGATTCATAAAAGAGCAATTAGAATCTAGTGTGCCACTCCAGCAGGGTGTCTGATTAGTATTACCAATTAGCTCGAAACAATCTATGTGGACTTCCTACAAGTCACTTAGAAGGGTTTTAACAGTATTTAGATTACTTAAATTAATTTAAATTAAATTATGTGTTTGATCTTAAAGTAAGTATTTAACTCATTCCACATCAGCTACCTTCTTAGCCATTTGCATCTGGCAAGAGGTAGAACATTTGATCAGAAATGCCTTACCCACCTTGGGGCTGTTTTTTGTTATTGTCACTTATGAGTATCTCTGAATGTTTCTCCAAGTAGTCTGAGTAAGTGAAGCATGTTGTATAAATGCAAGCTGCCCTCATAGACTGCAACATCAGCAAGCTTTGGAAAATTTATTTCCCCTTGCAGAGCAAAACTGAAAAAGTCCCAGAACAGGGAAGATGGATGAAAAATTACATGTTTTATTTAGTACCAAGAACAGATTTGTAGCCACCTTGTTCTAGGAGCATCAGATCATCCTGTTATACAGGAAGGCAAAATATTTGGTCTAACACAAAAAGTGCTTAATGATTTACCCCAGTATTTCTGTCTGATAACTGATAACTACCTTCATTATATTCCATGGTTGGAAACAACTGGATAATTGATGGCAGTTTCTCCTTACTGCCTGAAAAAGAGTCAGGAGACCAGAGGCTGTCTCACACTGCCAGCTTATTTTAGTACCAGAATAGTGACACATCTGTGATTACATCATGGGGCTAATATTTCTACAGTATGGAGGAGTTCTTAGCTGGGGAAAAACTACTAGGGCTATGAAGGAGATTCTTATTCCTGTCTGTGAAAGGGCTGTAGAGGTAGGATAGAAAGAGTATCCACACTGTCCCCTACTGCCATACCCAGTGATTAGTCATTTGCCTCTCACATTACTGGCATGGCTGGTCTGGTGCCTCTACACCATCCCAAAATTCAACGCACCAGGCACGGAGAATTGCTGTTGTCTCCCCAAGGCTCCTTTGGGGCTGCATTGCCCATGCTGTCCCCAGCTTAGGTTGGACGTCTTAATGTCTGGCTCACACTGTGTGCAGAAGGCCCTTTGTCATCCTGAGCCCAGTGACATCTCTCAGAGCATGACTTCACTGTGGCATCGGTTGCCCCACAGCAATGAATGCTCCAGTTTCTAGTCATCCATCATGTTTATGTCTACAAATACGTTTAACTGATTTAAAGAAGGTGATGCTGTTTGGGTTTAACTATTAATTTGAAGCTGAAGCTCTGCTGCTTGTTAAAAACTGAATAAGCAAGCAATCATGTCCCAGTGTGAAGCAATTGTTTCCTTTTGCAATTAATAAGAAGAAAACAAGAAAAGGTTGGGTACTGATATTTCACATTTAAAATGAATATAAATCCTAGTTCAGGATATTGCAGGCAGATTTTTCATAGCCTTTTTTATGTTGATTAACTGTTAGTTAAATCATAGATTAATGTATTGAGTATGTTGTTTGTGCTCCTTGTCAAAGCAAATCAATAACTTCTGCATTCACAAGGGAGAAAATAGGTCATGATCATTTCCTCTGCAACAGCAATTGTTACTTTTATAGTATATAGAGGTAAAAATATTTCAAACCATTTACAGTTCTGTGGAGCTGATCTTGCTCTTAAATTCTTCATTTGCTTTTTCCAAGCCAAACTGTGATCTAGATAAATTTTCCGAGTTTGCTTGAAGATGTGTGCAGATTTTTAAAATATATTTATTTAACTTGGGAGACAATTATTTGCATTGAATGCCCCTGTTTTCTACTATTTTGACACTACTTACTTTCCCTTATTGTAAAAATCTGCATTAAACTCTAGAGAAATAATACTGCAGTATTTGTCATTGCACACTTCAGCCCAAAATTCTTGAGGGCCTGTTAAAACTCCAAAGATCCTAGATCTCCTTCCTCTGTTTGGAGCTTGGTAGTGTGCTCACATCTGTAGCCTGCAAAGGATATGGAGTGACATCCTGCACTTTGCTGTTTCTTGCAAGTTAGCAAAGTACTGGGCCGCTACTGTTGGGTCAACAAACCTGAGGAGATGAGAGAGCCTGCTAAGTCTCTGAGGCAGCTTCTGGTGAATACTAACGGGTTTTTCCTTCTGATCTCAGACATTATCTCAAAAGTATCCTACAACTTTACAGAAGAATTGCCATGGTGCTGCAGTAATAATGCTGCCAAATCTGGTATTTGGGGGATTTTTTAGAATAGTGTTTTGATTTTAATAACAGATGATCATATAGACTAGCACAGATCAGCTTTCAGCTCTAATTTTTTTCTTTTCCTTCCAGAATTTTTCCTTTTCTTCCTTGTACCTAGTTTCTTTGGTCCTGGTGCAGTGGAAGCTCCTCAAGGTCACTTAAGCTCTAATGATATTTGGTGAATCAGTTTCTATCAAATTCTCATTTGGTTCAGTAAATTTTTCTTATACCTTACAACTCTCCTGTTCACCAGGTGTCTGAGTGTGGACATGAACAAAAAATGAAAAGCTAAAACCTTTCCTTCCTCTAGCAATCTGGACTCTTTGCTTACACAGATAAGATCTCTGGAATTCAGGTAGTCTAACAACATCTGAAGAATGATAGTTGAAATCAGTGCTCTGCCAATGAGCCACAGGCTTGCCAGAGAAAAATGAGCTTTCCCTCTGTACAGACCTGGAAGCCAGATTTTTCTGTCTTTGACCTTGAGAAAGTTACTGAGTCTCTCTATCTCTATTTTCCCCTCTGCAGGAGTGATTGCATGTAACTACCTCACCTAGATCTAGTGCATATTAATAAATTAATGTCTTAAGGTACATTAAAAGGCATGCAGTAGCTATTCAAGTCCCAGTTATTCTTATGACTTAAAATGGGAGCTAATTCCTGGATTTTTTTATTAAATTTTATTACAGACATTATAGAACATTAAGTTCATTTGTGCACTTAACGCTTTTGATTGCAAACATTTTCTGGTACTCATAATGTCTATTCATAACCTATTCTCAGAAGGGCAATCTGCCCCTTGTCATAGTATGACTATTATGACATGTCATTTGTGCTGCCAGTTTGCCTCTATTTTCCCTGATAAATTACCAGTTTTATGGTAGATAAAGTTGAAACAGAGATATGTGTAATTTCCATGTAACCTTTTTTCTGCAACCTCTGTTGCTAATTTGTGTCTTACTGCAAACGACTTTCCCCTTCAGTCCAAAGGGTGTTTGTCACGCATAAGTAAAACTCTAGATTTGGACATCATTTTTTACCATTGCATTTTAGGAGTTGATGAAAATCTGCTAAGCCCTGCCACCAAAATACACAGATTTCGTCCTCCTAACCAAAATGAATTTGAGAAGAAAGATCATGGCTCAAAGCTGTGCATCACAAACAGTGGCTAAGGAAGCCTTAGAGACTCTCTTGTGACACCAAAATGTGTCTTTAATTTTGACTCAGTGAGGCAGTTTCTTCATCTGAAACAGCCTGATTTTCTGCCTTGCCTGTATAATTCTCAGCCTGTCTGGAAAGGTGACAATTAATTTCATTTACTCTGTGGGCTTGGGTACAGGAGCAGGCACAGATGAATCCAGGGCTCAGTTTGTTCAGTGTACGTACTAAAGAGCTGTTAAGTGACAATATCTCACTCCAGGCTAGAATTGCCTCTGTGGCAGAGCAGTGAAAAATCACTGTGTCCAAAAAGACTGTGTGTGAGACCAGTTCCTCTGGGACACCCAGCTCAGCCTCAGACTGTAGATTTATGAAATGAAATGCATTAGACATTACCACCAGTGTCTTGTAAATCTTACTAAACATATTTGAGTCAGAAAACATTTATCTTCCATAAAACTTGTCAAGAGAATTGCATCTTGTCTAAACTTTAGCATTGCCTAAGGATAGAAATAGTTAATATTTATACCTCTGCCTTCTCTCTGACACACATTCCTGTAGTAGAAACGTATATACAGCGGTTTGAAGTTCTTTCAGACCTTTTCTTTTAACTGTTAAGTATATAAAAGTACTGTGGATCTGAAAACATTCTGATAAAAATGTAATCTTCTATTCCAAAATCAAAGGGCCTGACATGACAGACAAGAAGTGTGCAGGTTTTTCCCACTAGATTTTACAGGAAATATTTCACTTTTTTCTTTTTTAAAATTTTTTCTGTACCATGAGTAATTAATATGCTTAAATTGTGATTTTTCATTGAAGTATTTTCTCACTAAAACCATTGTAAGCTACAGTGGTGTAACTTTTTTTTTCTGTTTTGATCATGTACAGATGATGCAGCAGTTATTGCAAGTTCTTGTACTAGGGAGCTATGAATTGTTCACATCCATGAGTTAAGATCTTTTTAAAACAAGTACTTGCTTAACTGTAGCTTTTTTCTCTGGTTTTGTTGCAAAACAAAAATCTGGTTTAAAATGGGCTTTTTGAAACAATAGTGTGCTTTTTGGTGAATAAAGCTAAAAAACTTTGTCATGTAGTCACCTGACCATGTGGGAGTTTTGCTAATGACCCAGAGTCATTTATACACAATGGACATATCCTGTGACCTTGATTTGTCTTTTTTAAGTATACTGCAGTACTGGGTGTATTTCATAAGCACTTTGCTTAGACAGCTGACTTAGGCAAATTGCTGTGGAAAGGGCTGATTTTAATCAAGAACAACACAAAACACTAGGAAAAATGAGGGGCTTAAAATAGAAAGTAGTATTATCAAGAAAGTGGATGATTCAGAAAGCTTACAATGAGATGAGAAGCTGCCTATTTCTAGATCACTAGTTCAAATAAAAATCCTCTGTGGTAACTTGTAAATCTTGTTGCCATCCTATATCTGCTCAATAACCTAAATTGATGGATCACTTTGATATCTGCTACCCATAAGGGGACACACCCATAAGGATGCATCTGTGAGCTACATCCATCCTTCACAGAACAGGGAAGCACCAAATAGTCCTGGATGCTGAAGTGCTTCTTGCTCCTTTCATTTGTACTTACTCTCTGTGTATTTATTGTTTTAAAATTAAATTAATGATCCAGTGGTTGCATGGTGCAATTTGAAGGTTTTGGGTGTTTTTTTAGCAGTGTTAACAGAATTTCACAATATTGTGGTTTTTCTCAGAAATTTGATTCCAGGCTTTTGAATTTCCTTCCTTTCCTCTTTAAAAGACTTACTCAAAAATTAGCTTACAGAGAAAACAGATTACATAAAGTTCATAATATAAAACTTCTGAAAGCATTTCAGTAAATTAAAAGTTAGTTCAAACTTTTTAAAGATTGTAGTGTGTTGATGTGTCACTATAAGAATTAAGTTGATGGATTCTAAAACTGCATTTGGGATAAGTTTTTTTTGTGTCAAAATCATTGAAGTTCGATACAAAAATTTGCAAGCCAGTTCTTCATGAATCTCTCTTACTTTGTGATACAAAACATGGGCTATTACTAAGCAAAATTAGTTTCTCTCTTCAAAGAATCTAGTAAAGCTCTGTATCTCATTATTCGTTAGTCTGCAATAATACATGTTGGAATTAAAAAAATTATTTCTTTGAAGCTGAAGATGATGATAACAGCTTGTTGGTATGGTTTGTTCACAGGATCTGAAGCCTTTTCTTCTCTTTAATCCCTAAGCATATTTGGAGTAGTATTATATCCCTTGAACTACATTTTATAAGACTCTCTGGAATGTTATCTGGAAGCCATTTAAGAGTCCATTCTAACTTTTGGGTTAGAAGAAAGCAAAATGTTTCAAGTTGAAGATAGTAGATTCAGTAGATTTCTGTAGAAAATCTTTTAAAGAGAAGAATACATTTTATTCAAGATGCAGAGCACCTGTGGTATTGATGGAACTCAATACTTGTCAGATGCAAGTTGGTGTGCCTCAAGGTCAACTTGGCCAGAACATCTGCTTTCACACCTACGTTCTTCTGAAAAGTAAAATGGGAGTTTGACATAGAGAAGGTGTCCCACAGGCAAATGTTGCCCATTTTTCATAGAGCTGTTGCATCAGCCAGGACTTCAGAGAGAGGGCAGTTTCTGCTGTCTCACAATTAATCCTGAGGTGCCACCATTTTTTGCCTGCCTGTCTTTCATTCCAATTTCATACTGGAAAAGCAGCATGAGCTATTTCAATAAAAACTGGTTGGGTTTCCCAACTTCTGTTCCTGGCTTTTCTTTTCACTTTTTTCTTTGACTTTGATTTTCACCTCCTCATGTTCCTGTTTCCCTACTTGATGATATTTGTTAAAGGGCTTTGAATTCAACGCATAAACAGGGCTAGATAGTAGCAGTCCTCACCACAGGTGTATCTCATAAGATACTGAAAATAATCAATCACTCCTGTGACAAAAGAAATATGATGTTAGCGCCAATTCTGATTGATCTTTAACACCTGGCTGGATAAAAAGCTGAGGCAGGAAAAGGGATATCATTGTGTCCACCTCCCAGTATATAACTGTGCCATTAGCAAACAAACCCCCCAGGTTTTAGCTTCTTCCCTGGTTACTCTCAGCTGCTCCCAAAGTCTCTTTTTTCCGAGCCCATTTTCACAGGCTCGCTTCCCTGCACATCAGAGAGTTGTGCACTTGCCATCCCCTCAAATCACTCATCACTAGTGCAAGCCACTAGTTTTCCCTCTGCCTTTCTACAATTTTCCCCTACAGTCCATCCTTCCTTTCTCCCACTCTTACTCCACCTGCTCCACTCAGGTGAGACATTTTCTCCTTGCTGCCTGCACACCAGTGGAAAGGTCACACAGACACCAGGCTGAAGGTGTGCTTCCCACTGAGTAGCTGGTGCCTCTGAGTAGCTGGTCCCTAAAAATTGGTCTCAGATCTTTAGTGCTTCATCCTGCTGACAGGATTTCTGCTTGCTTGCTGTCCTAACTCCCTTTTTTAAGTGTTGTACCCTAAATCTAATAAGTACTCAGTTTAAACCCCTTAGATGTCTTGCTGGTCTTGAAAATCTTTCTGTTCTCATTTCTTCTCAAAAAGGGATGAAAGACCACTACTTTCCTATATACAGTGAGAGAAGCAACTCTGCCCTTCATTGAGCTGTTTCCTTTAGTTTATTTATTTTCTTTTCTTTCCCAACAGCTCTGGTTTACACACAAGTGACAGTGTTACAAAAGCAGGACCTTCAGGCCTTCCAGACATGAGACAAGTGCCAACTGTTGTGATCGAATGCGATGACAATAAAGAAAATGTGCCTCATGAAACTGACTATGAAGATTCTTCCTGCCTTTATCCAAGGCAGGAAGAGGAAGAAGAGGAAGATGAAGAGGAGGATAACTCATTATTTACAAGTAAGACTCATTCCATTTTTCCTTTCTCACTTACTTAATTTGTACCCTGAGTTCACAATACACAGAGGAAACACAAGGCCTGTGTTTTTTCTTTCTTGGGTGTGGCTTTTTCATCTCTCAGGGCTTGACTACATGGAGATGCTAATCCAAAATAACAAACAGTATGAATTTATTGTGATTTCACTAATATTCATGAATCCCCGTCTCAGTAGTTCTCAGACTAGACTCAAATGACAGATTTGGGCTTATATTGGTTCAGTTACAAATTGGCTTTTGGATTCGCTTTCCCAAATGCCCTTTGTGAAGAGAAGTCCTGCTTTTGGCTTAAGTCAAGATCATCTCAATAGTTGCTTCAGGAGGATGAAATAAGTGCCACACATCGAGAATCAGAGTTTTTATATACAGTCAATAGTAAATAATTTTGGAATCATATACGTGCACATGCTTTGAAAGGGGTCACAATCAGAGGATTGGGCTCAGATAAGAAGAGGCTAATTGATAACCATATTTCCTGGTTTAGGGCAATTTTGGGAGAAAAACCTCTAAAGGGGCTTCCTGTAGAAAAACAAATTCAAGTGGCCCCTCCCCCAACAAACTCCACGCCTCTTCTCTGCCGCCTTTGCTCTCAGAACAAGTCTTAAAGGTGCAAAACTTATCATCCAGCTAAACAGAACAGATGACTGGGGATACAAGCATCATATAGCCAACCCAGGACACCACATCACAATTACAGAGTGGGAAAGGACCTTGTGGCCTTCCTGACCGCTGTAAGAAAACTCAATTCCTGCCTCGGTGCAGCATCTGAAGTTCCAGGCCCTTGCCTTTCTTTTCTTATGAAAACTGGAAGCAGTACAGTCAAACAACATCCCTTTTAAAACACACAGAAATAAGATTCTAAAACAGGCATATTTCATCTCCACATCACCCCACCTTACCCTGTAGGTGAAATTAAGCAGTGTTTGCTCTTATACTAAAAACAGAACAGAACTGCACTATCTCACACTCTCCTGACAAACTCTCGTGTTTGTGTCTCTCTGTGTCTGTCTTCCCTGCTCAAACTACTTTGGACACAAGCCTAAGAATGCAAATTTGAGCCATAAAAGGCCATTGGTTTTTAGTGTCTTTGCCACTGCCCTGGAAGCAATTAGTTCATGTGCATAAAGATTTGTGCTGCTTCTGATTGACTTCTGATTCCTTCTAATGCTGGCTTGGATATCTTGATATTACATTGCAAGAGACATTCAGATACCCCTTTCTTTTGACATGCTATAGCTCTGCTGCCTGCCCAGATTCTGAGGTTGAATTTTTCATTCCATTATGTGGAAATACTGTGCTAGAGAAAGCTACAGATGTTACTAGCAATTCTGAAACAGGCCCTTCTTCTCCATTCCCCTCTATGGAGCAATATATTAACTTCTATTTCCTCTATACCTACCAATTTTGGCTTTTCCTTATTAAGATAGGAATTGAGGTTAATTGAGCACATGAAGTTAATGACACCCCTTTTCCCATCGTCCAACCAGTGTAAAGGAGAGCCTCATATCCTCCCTTGGCTAGTCCTTCTTTGCCAGGTGCATGCTGTAATGAAATGATGACACCTCTTTTGGCAAAACCTCTCCTCTCTCCCACAGGCCCCCTGGCAAGGAAACTCTGCAGGAAGGACTCTTTAGCAATCAAACTAAGTAACAGGCCTTCCAAGCGAGAGCTGGAGGAAAAGAACATCCTCCCCATGCAGACTGATGAAGAGAGGCTTGAACTTAGGCAGCAGATTGGGACAAAGCTAACAAGGTAAGAGACAAACATTTTTTTAACTCTTGCTTTTGGAAATATATGGTGGCATGTAGTTTTTTTCCTTAGTCTTTAAGCATTTGAGATCTGTTTGGTTACAATGTTCAAGAGGAAAAGCCATGGAGGGAGAAGATATGGTTCAATACATTATTTCTGGTCCAATAGAGCTTCCCATATAACTCCCCATTTCATTTTCCTGGCATATGCTATGGGAACTTATTTTTAAGTATCAGCATGAGCTACGTGAATTTGGTTGTTGTTGGCACATCACTGGAAAATGTTCAGCTTTGGTAACGTTTCAGCCTGTAGCTGTAGGTGCCTTTTTATAAGCTATTAGTTTGGCCAAAGGTCACAGGTATAACTTTCTTTTCTGACAGCATCACCTGTGAGTAGCTGAGACTTTTCCTGGTGCAAAATAGTTTAAAAGTCCTTCAGTACTTGCCTTCGTTGGGTCAGGTTGGACAGATTTACCCTGTCTAGACACTTTCTTCTTCATAGCAGGGTTACTCACCAGCTGCTCTGGTTTTCTGTATTGAATAGGGTGTAAAGGGGTGGCCATTAAATGTGGAGGATTTCTGACAAGAATTACTAAACCGAGGTCAGACAGAACTGTCTGAGAACCTTCTGTGTGCATACTGTGATTTCTGTAGTCAGTTGAATCCTCTTACATTGTCAGCTTGGTAGTATGCAGAGCTGGTGAACATTGTTACTTGCTCTCCAATGAGGAAACCACAAGGAAATGATCAACCAGTTATTGGGAATTTTCTTTCACGTTTTCATTTTTTTATTTGGGGGGTGGGTGGATAAGGGGGAAACACTGCTACCATGTTGTGGAAACAGGAAGAATAGGAGTTCCAGGTAAATACCACTTTCAGCATTTTATTTATTTTTCTTTCATGGCCTTGTTTATCACCTCCTTGGAATAAATTAACCACACCTTTCCAAACTGTCTTTGAAAGTTTTTGTGCTGGATCATGTTCAGTCTACTCCAAACCCTAATTTTTCAGTATTCTTATTAAGGGGCTTCTGCAAAAATGCCCAAAATATGTAAGAAGGTGCTGCACTGTTGCTGGTGCTGTGATTTTTCAGTTCAGTCTTTATTCCAACCTTGTTAGACTGCAGCTGCACTGAGCTCTGGGGGTCCCAAAGAACAGCACAGGATAACAAGGTCCCAGTGCTTATATGGTTAAATTTGAACCTTTTTGAAGCATCTGAAGAATTTAAATTTTTGTCTCTCACTGCCTGACCTTGCAATGACATTGAACAGTGTTTCCACTATCTTGCCTGTTTGCCTAAATTACTTGGGTCTTTCTGAAGTTTTCCAGCTATGGCTGATAAAGGAAAGTAGTGTCATTTACAAACAATGATTCTGCACAGCTCACTGTGCACCAGATCTTTTTCATTATAAGTATTTTATTTTTCACCTATCCAAAACCTGCTTTTTTCCTCACTAAACAGTATTTTTTCAGCAAATGCCTTTTTAACAAGGGAAACTATTTTTGGCTGTCTGCAAAGCCCTTCCTGTGTGAGCCCCATATTCTCATAATGTTGTTTTTTTGTTTCCCCAATTGTATGTCTCCTAATCTGAGTTTAATAGTTTGAGCTGTAATGCCTGATCTTGTCTTCTAATATAGCTAGGACTTAGGGGCAATCACAAATAGTTCAAACAACTAAAACTGTGTATATATGAGTTCAAAAATTAGCTGTGCTGAATGAAACTGCTGTTTCATTCCTGCTTTATATCACTGTAACATCACTGAAAATGGTAGAATTTCACAAGCTTTAACTAGAGTGATGTAGTTTCCAGTCTGACCTTTTAATTACTACTATTTACAACTTAGTATCTCATCCTTTTGAGTAGCTGAAAACAATAAAGAGATATGAGGAGAAAACTATTTTGCTCATATCTAATATGTAAGAAGCCACAGGCATTTCAGCAGCAAAAAGGAAGAGTGCTTGTCTTACCAGTGCTCTGTATCTAAATGTGATATATCCATGTGCATAAACTGATGAATATGAGATTAAAATAGAGAGAATATTTCAATTTGGACAGTATTTCCGTACTGTCCAGACTTTATTACTGAATCCATCCTTTGCTGTTGCTTGGTAATTGTCACACAGTGATGCAAATGCCAAGCAAAATTAAAGTAGTGAAGCATTTATAGTCCTTAGAGAAGATGCTAGATGCAGACTATAATTGCAGCTGGCAATTTTGGATTTCAGAGGGATTTGTACTGCTCCACCAATGGTCCTCTAGGGTTTAAAATATCCAGCCAATCAAATCACATATGCTACTTACAGAAGTAAAAAATGCAGAATAAAAACTTCAGCATATAGTTATTGTCTGTAATAGATCAATTAATTTTCACCAAGAGGCTGATTACGATACTTCAGTATTTATGCATAATCCTCACAGTATTTAGTTTGGAAGAGCTCATTGGCTGCCACATTTGGCAGATATGAATTTAGTACTATAAAGAGAATTTTTTCAAAGATGCCTCTATCCAGGCATATTGAGATTGGCCACTGACATATTGTGTGGGACCAAAATCATCCCAGGTGCAGTTCCTCCAGCCTTATTAGAGTTGCACTGGGAATCAGTTTGGCTCAGAAAGGTCTGTTCAGATCCTGTTTAACTGTAGCTTGGAACCTCTGAACCTCCTGTTATTCCCAGAAAATTGTTATGACTTCATTTTTACATCAGCCAACTGGAAGAGAGACTCCAGAGCAGAATTCACTGTTTCCCATGCTGGGAGAATAGTGCCTTGACTTACACCAGGCCAGCTGTAAGGGTGAGGCTGCAGGGACTGTATCTTATAGAAGGACCTGGCCCACTACACACCTTGGTGCTCTCTGAGCAATGAAAGAAATTCTTTGTGCCTGTCTCAAAACACTTCACATGAATGTCGTGCTTCCCTGGTCTGTGTCTTGTATCATGGCTCAGCACATGCAGACCCCAGCAAAAACAGAGCTTCTTGCCCAAGGTGCCAAAATATGTCCTAGCAAAGGCAGGAGATTCCACATCACATTAATTCCAGCCACATGAACAGGCCAGTGTAGCATAAACCATTTCTGAGGAGTCCTGACATAGCAATTATGGCAATTGATTACAGCGATTAATTAGAAGAGCTCTTCCTCTAACCAAACCAGAATGGATTGCTCCAAAATGTGACATCTCCTATGAAACAAGGAGCAAAAATAGTAAATTAAGATGCATAACTCTCAGCTCAAAACCACATGTGGCATGAGGATAGGAAAATGGATGCTGGAGACCATGTTCTTGGCTGCTAAAAACCCTTACAACTCCATTATCTTCTGCTCTGAAATGCAAACCTTCTGTGCTAAGTAAATCTTTAAGTGAGTATGGTGTTCCTTTTTTTTTTTTTTTTTCAGCTTCTACCAAACTTCTCCTCTATTTTATTCCTCTGGTGCCTGTGCAGCTTCACAGCTGCTCAAGTGTGCATGTGTAAGACAGAAAGGAGAACACAGGAGGAAAAGAAAGATAACAGGGAAAGGGAAGGAAAAGACAGACATCTCTGTTCTGCCTGTCTCACTGGCTGTGATGGACCTGCTGGGAAGCACAGGTTCCCTGGTATTCCAGTTAGAGAAGCAGCCAGGAAGGTTTGGATTTAGCTTTCAGTGGCTGTCAGGTTGAGAGGAATGGGATATCCAGGCTGTGACAGTGAGTTTGGAGGTTTTCCTGGGGCAATGGTAAAGGCCTGTCAGGAAGCCCTGGTGAAAAGGAAGGCCGGCACTGTTGGGTGATGGACAGCAGAACTGCACAGAGACTGCAGGAACGTCCCATGGTGCTGAGACAGGTGCTTCAGTCCTTGCACATCTCTTTCACCACAGAATCATAATGGTGCTCATGACAGACCCCACAAACTTAATCAACACATTTAGTAAACATAAGAGCCCTTTACAGGGCTCCTGTCACAGCATCTCTGTAATCTTTGTTACAAACACCAGACTTTGCACTTTCTTGGAATGGGAAGACCTGGTTTCTTTGTGTGTCTTTCACAAAGTGTTCCGCCATACTCTGAGAAAATGTGTGTCTTTAGACCGACTGATCTGCCACACATCATACAAGGGAGGCTTTCTAAACCATTCAAGTATTTTTTAGTCTCATAACCCACCAACTCTGGTGAAGGTGCTCATTAGCAATTGGATACAGGAGTATTAAAGCTGAGATTTTAGTCCACTGCTTTTCAAGAACATGATGTATTTATTTGTTTCCCCTGATTGTTTGCATCCTGGCGTTTCCCACCTGCTGGAATTGGATGATCTAATAACACAAAATGTCTGGCAATCCAGTGTGCTGGCATCATGTTGTTAATAATCAATGTCAAGGGAACTTCTTGATATTCACAGTGTTATTACTGGTCAGCATAATGTCAGTCTGATCAGCACACTCCTACCCACTGTCTGCAGATCTGGAGGCAGGGGAGACACATAAAGGCTGTCCACTGGCAGTGGTGCTTGTCAGGGGACTGCTGCCCTTCACTGGAAGGTGCCACAGGCACACCAGTAAGATTTTGCAATCCAATAAAAGTTTGTGCTGTGCTGCTCCCAAAAGCTGTTAGTTTTAGGAGTCGTATTTATCGTGTCCAGTGTGAAAGCAGAGAGATGAGGTGGGGGAGCAGCCTTCTGCACATTAGCTAACTAGTAAAATGAGAAACAAATGAAGAAAGTAACAAACTACCTATTGCCTCTTTCCTGACTTTGAGATGTTCTTCCAGTTGCTCAACTGAATCCTCTGTGTGTCACTTTATGTATGTTCTGCTGGCTTTAAAGCTTTAAAGTTTCTCTTCCTGATATACAGTAGTGCTCTGCATTGTTTTTTTGTGTAGCCCTAGATTTATTCACTGCAATACCTTACGGGGTACTGTCCTTACACCAGCAAGTGGAAAATCGTGATCTGAAGCAATATAAATAGCATATTGCAAGGATCATGAGGCAGTAGATCACAGAGATTCTGTGTGCATATGGCTGTAAATAAG